GCGACAGATGCTGCCTGCCAGTCTCTGGGACGACCCAGCAGGCCAGCATGGCTCACTCACAACTCACATGCCTGCAGTCCCTGGGCAGAGGCTCAGCCTTGTCTGCAGCCTCAAAAGTCCACATAAATCAAAGGAGTCTTCTCACTTCTGGCCAAAGGGATGTTTGTTTTATTCAGTGTCACAGAAGCCGATAGCAGCTTCTCCTGTTATTGAGTGCAAAAGTAGAGGCTTCTATGGGCACATCAGAAAAACTGGGTCACTCAGCTTCACAAGTACCCACTAACACTGGGCTTCAGACAGCTCAAAAAAGAAATTTTCTATTTTCGTTCCCGTTTTGGCCTGCTGACCTCCCCACATATGCCAATCTTTTGTTTTTTTTCAAGTGCAGTTCGATCTGAGAGGAGAGAAAACACCAGTCAGGAGTCAAAGAGCTCAAAGAGACGTGGGATGGTCATTGCTCAGACTGCAGAAGAAGAGATCTCTTCACTGGAGTGGAAATTTGGAAGACACTGCCTGCCATCTTTTCTGACGTCACGAGGCTCCAAGTTTTCCGAGTTGATGGTACTACTCTTGAGAAGCCGAGAGCATAATTTTAAGAACAGGAAACACGATGGCTTCTTAATCAAATTAAATAGCAAAATGAAAGCAATAATTACTCAAATTTACTTGGCAAATTAGCAAGACAAATTAATTGAAACACTGCTTTTGATCATAAGGATATAATTAGAAAAGTCTTTGGTGGATGAAAATAGCTCTGAGGCATGAATTAAATCAATTGGACAACCTGATGATAAAGCCCTTATGCTTAGTGCGTAAATCCCAACTTGCTGTTATGGAATATAAAGGAAGGATAGAGATTATCAGCAAGTATTCATTAAAAATGGTCCTGTACAAATAATGTGAATAATAATAGCTAACAACTACTGTGCTTTTATTACATGAAGGTGCCGAGCTACACGATGTATTATTCTTATCACTTGTATTGTCTTGTTTCTTTTAAAAATTAATAAAGAGACTCATCATGGTTATCAACTGCACAGCTTAAACCATCGCTGAGCCCATGGTTGTGGACAGAAGGTCGTAAAAGGTTTGTGCTGCGCAAGTGGCAACCATGATGATTGTCTTTGTCAATTTTCAAGAGAAATGAAACAGTGCAAGAGATATAAACCATTACTGACCCTCTGCCCACGGGCTTCTCACATGGTTCAGTGGTAAAGAATCTGCCTGCCAATGCAGGGGATGCAGGTTCAATCCTTGGGTTGACAAGATTCCCGAGAGGAGGAAATGGCAACCCACTCCAGTATTCTTGTCTGGGAAATCCCATGGACAGAGGAGACTGGCAGGCTACAGTCCATGGGGGTCACCAAGAGTTGGACATGGCTTAGTGACTGAGCACACACACACATCCATAACCATAGACTCCATGATAGAAGGAGCACAGGGCACCAAAATCTGACAAAAAACAGAGGCTGAGATGCCTTTTCTCTTGTTAGCCTCATCTTCCACTTACAAATGCCATTGTGCTCAGTCGTGTCTGCCTCTCTGTGACCCAGTGAACTGTTACCTGCCAGGCTCCTCTGTCTATGGGATTTTCCAGGCAAGAATATTGGAGTGGGCTGCCATTTCCTTCTCCAGGGGATCTTCTTGACCCAGGGACTGAACCCATGTTTCCGGCATTGCAGGCTGATTCTTCCCTGCTGAGTCACTGGGGAAGCCCACGAGGGGAGTAAGTACTGTCTTTTTAAATTCCTTCTTGATGCCATGTCCTAGCACCCAGCCCAGGGCCTAGCACATTGGAAGCACCTGATAAATATTCTTTGGCTGAATAACTGAGTGAATGCACTCCTTAAATGATCTGCCAAAGTGGGAACGGAAGTGATGATGATTTCTTTCGGAACATGCTCAAAAGAGAGCAATCAGAGTTCAGTAATGGCTTGCCAAGAAACTGACCCATATTCCACAATAAGGAGGCTGTGGACCTTAAAGCATCAACACTTCCCAACCCTTGGGAGGAAAGATGCATCCACACCATCTATGGAGAGGAGCAGAAACAAGCTCCGATTCGCAGAAGCAGCAGAGACAGGGTGTGGCCCTGGCAAGCAGTATGTAAGCCCCTAACACTGGGCATCAGAGCCATCCTGACAGGGTATGTTCACGCTCCCCATGCAGGGGCTGGCTCCTAACCCAGCCCTAGGGTCCCTCCACGGTGCTCCAGAACCTGTGACCTCACTCACTCAAGTTTAGCCCTCATCAGTGTTCCAGGAAACAGGAATACTCTCGTAAAGGCAGAAAACAGAGCAAGTTAGGTGGAATAAGCATGATGGCACCTCTATGCCATAGTGTATCTTTAGGTTTCCTTTTGGAAGAAAAGACCACAGAGTCTGCAAAAATAATAGTAACCTGGAGAAATAGAACTCGATAAACCCAAAATACTCCTTCCAGGGACCCAGGACTCATTTTATCTGTAGATAATGCTAGTTTTGATTTTTTTTCTCATCATCAATCTAAGAGAAATCTAAAAATAAAAAGACCAAAATTAAAACCATGCTGTAATTTTTTAAAAAAATTTATATTTAATTGAAGGATAATTGCTTTATGATATTGGTTTCATCTTTGCCATAATCAACATGAATTAGCCATAGGTGTACATATGTCCTCTCCCTCTTAAACCTCCCTCCCACCTCCCACTCTTTCCCACCCCTCTAGGTTGTTACAGAGCCCCAGTTTGAGTTCCCTGAGTCATAAATTCTGTAATTCTGAGATCACTAAAATGGCTTTAGTGAGTTTATAACATAAGAAATTATTATCACTAGTAAAGAGTCAAGTGTTTTGTTTTTCACTTTAAGTTTGACATTCAGATTTTTAATCCTCAGTGCTGGGAAGATGTGAGATCCTGGGGTGTGGTAATGAAAACTGCAAAAACAGGATCCTCGTTTCATTATAATCTGCTAATTAATAACACACTACACACCAGCTAGACACCAGCAATAACAGGGTTTTCACCAAGTTGAGGCCCATGTTAAACAGTGAAGAATCCCTCCAATACTAGAGAACGAAAGATGCTAAACTCTGTACTGAAATATCTCCCTTGGACATGGTTTGCATTTGGGGGAAAGAAAAGAAAAGGCTAGCAGCTAACTTTGTGCCTGCATTTTTCCTTTCTCTGCATTCATGGCAATCACAATCTCGTCTAGACTCAGGACAGCGTCGCCTCCAATGAGCGAAGGATGGGCAGACGGAGATCTCTTATTTTTTATCCCTGCAAATTGGGTGGTATTTCAGGCACCATCTCCTCTACCCAAAGAGCCAGTAGTATTCCCCAGAGGGAAGCAGGTGCTTGTCATCCATTGAATCAAACAAAAACTGCTTCATTTTCAAATTCACAGACATTTTACATATCACATCTGCCCATTTTTCTCAGTATCCAACAGAATTGTTTTCCTTTAAATTCTTTTACCAAGCAGCATGCGGAATATTAGTTCCCTGACCAGGGATTGAACCCCCACCCCTTGCAGTGGGAGCATGGAGTCTTAACTGCTGGACTGCCAGAGAAGTTCCCCTTTTTTTAAGGAAAAAAAAAAAGTTCTAACATAAACAATTTTTCAATCACTTGGATTATAGTAATACTGCTGTAAGACCAATTCCATTGAGATTTTTCTTCTTAGAGAGAAAAAAATAATGTGAAAAGCAGATGTATGTTTAAGTTAGTGACTCACTATGCACTCATTGTCCAAAAAATCTGTCGATCCATATATTAGGGAAAAATAAGTTGGCTATCATTTGGCAGTAAGTGTTTTATGGACTCATAGTTGTCAGTCTAGTTATCACCAATTCTAGAAAAACATCCTAAGAAAATAATTCAGTCAAGAGAAGACCTCTCTTCATTAAACTACTCCTTCCAAGATGTTTCAAAATAATAGAAACTGAAACAGACAAAATATCCACCTAGAAAGAAGTCAACAAGTGGTTTTAAGTAAATGTATCTTTCTCAATCAAGTATTTGCTAACCATTACAAGTTATAATGGTGCAAATCTTGTATTATGGAAAACATTTTTATAGGTTGCCAAGGAAGTAGAATGTCTCTACAAGTGAAACATACCTGAAATGTTCTGATTAGCACACAGAAAAGTTGATGAGTCCTGCAGCAAGGTGTGACTGGGGACCCACTTAACAGACCTCTCCCTGCCCCTTGGTTCTCCATGGACCCTGGATGGGCTTTCCTCCCCTCTCTGCTCCCCCTCCGTGTGCTGTGCTTAACCTGACTGCTTGCCTACATCATGCTTCTGTCCACCAGCAGATAATTCACATGCTTTGTTCAAGACTCAGCTCCCTTCTCATCTCTTTCACAAAGTTATATATTACCCTGGAGTGAAATTGCTTTATTCGATTCCTCAGCTCTGTCATTTTCTTGATCATTGTGTTTGTTTTGTCTTCTCAGACAATGAATTCCACAGGCAGAGTTATTTTTAGTGCATGCAATGACTCATAAATATGTGATTTTGAATGAATTAATCAATGAATATAAACTCAGTAGAGCAAGGACCATTTCTTTTCTTTGTATCTACAGGTCTTCCCATAGTGCAGACTTTCCCATAGTATATTATAGGTAACTGTTAGTCACTCAGTCAAGTTTAACTCTTTGCGACCCCATGGACTGTAGCCTGCCAGGCTCCTCCGTCCATGGACTTCTCCAGGCAAGAATACTGGAGTGGGTTGCCATTTCCTTCTTCAGGGGGTCTTTCCGACCCAGGGATCAAACCCAGGTCTCCTGCATTGCAGCCAGATTTTTTACCATCTAAGCCACCAGGGAAGCCCACATGATAAACAGCTCTTCACTAAACAACTGGAGGAATGAATGTATGTGTATTGCATTATACACGTTTGTTGGCTCCAATGCTGGGATGTGTTTTTCTTTCCCGTCCCTTTTCCACGTTTTGTTTCTATGGAAGATCAGAGACATTCTCTTCTAAAAGAAGTACTACCCATGAAGAGAACTTACCCAGATCGAACTGGCCAGAAATGTAGCCACAAGTCTGCCGGACTTCCTCACTGTCCCAGCCCAGAGGGTAGAGGGCGCAGCCAGCACCGATCAACAAGCCTGCAGACAAAAGACAAGAAGACTTTAGCAATGCCCTTCTGGAGCCCAAGATAGAGGTACCAGGGACAAAAAATCAATACGAGCAATATGACAAAGGAACATAGGGTCTGCTTTTGGGAAAGCACCAACCAAGCTCACTTTAGTGATCTAAGGTCAATTTAACTCCAAGAACAACTTCAAGTCTGCTTAAAAGGAGAGGGAAGAAAACAACCCGATAGACAGCTCAGTCTGGTTTCAGCTTCGCCTTTTAAAGCATTAAAAGCCTAGCAAATCCTGTTTAGGAACTACAATCCAGAAGTCCTTTTTAACCACTCTTGTAAAAAGCCAGCCCAATTCCACCGTCAATCCATGTAAACAAGTAATTCAAGTGCCAGCAAAAGACCTTATTGGTTATGCTTCATCATTTATCATATCTTTTTTTCCAATGTAAGAATCAAAACAGAATGTTTAGCATCATCAAATTTTACCCAGGGCAGAGAAAGCATAAAGATTTTCATGCACCACTTAGGCACATTGATTGAACTCGTGAACTGGGCTACGGCTCTCATGTTCTCTTGAGAAGGTGAGAATCATCAAGTGTCCACGTGTCCTGGAAATACTCAAGAAAATGGCTGCTGATTGGGATCTCAGTGCTTCTTGCAGCGAAGACCAAAAAGTTTGCTAATTAAACTGAAGCAAGTGATGGATTTATTTTCATATAAGTCAGGTTATCATGGCAGCTTACTCTGAGCCAGTCTTTAGCGACTCATTCAGAGTCACTGATTAGTGAGTCTTTGGTGTTGCATCAAAGCCTAATATGGTCTTACAAGAAACTGAATGAGACCTAGTGAAAGAAAGTGAAAGTGAAACTGAAGTTGCTCATTCGGGTCTGACTCTTTGCAACCCCATGGACTATAACCTACTAGGCTCCCCTGTCCATGGGATTTTCCAGGCAAGGTATACTGAAGAATACCTTCTCCAGGAGACCTTCCCGACCCAGGGATTGAACACAGGTCTCTCGCATTGTAGGCAGATGCCATCTGAGCTACCAGGTAAGCACTGACCAACTGAAACATTGGTCAGTATCATCAAATACTGATAACATCAAATACTGATACAGATATCATCAGTATCATCAAAATGATACTGAAAGTATCATGTTGTCATGTCAGTCAACGAGTAAAAACATCACTCCTGGGACTTCCTTGGTCCAGTGGTTAAGAATCTGCCTTGCAATGCAGAGGAGGCAGGTTTGATCCCTGGTTGGGGAACTAAAATCCCATATACCATGGAGAAACTAAGTCTGTGCTGCAACTAGAGAGTCTGTGTGCCAAAACGAACAGCTCCCCGTGCTACAACTAAGACCTAATGCAAATAAATAAATAAACATCACCTATACCCACAGTCTGACTGTCTGCAGGATTGTGGGTAAAAAGGCACTAAACGAGGAAGTCTCCTAAAGAAGAAAACAGTTAAGGTGCTAATGCACAGCCAGAATGCCGGGGCCCCCCAAGGCATCTCAAGGAGGCCTTCAGTATTTCTGGACTGAGTCTCTTCCTGCCTGCTTCTGCTTCTCCTCTACCCTTGGGAGGTGACTTGTGTGGTTGTAACCAGACAAACCATCTGTTTCCTCACAGACATCTAAGGAGGAGCTGCTTACTACCCACCCCCACCAAACTCCATGCCAAGCTCTCTGGAGAGATAGCCCTCAGGAACCAATACACATTTCCCACCCTGCTGCCCCTCCCTCTGACCCGGCCTTTGGACCACAGTCAGACGAGCATCTAATATAGAAGGGCTGTGATCCTAGGGAATGCCTGCAAAGAATCACTGCAGCTGCAAATCATACATTCCAGGACCTGTATGCAACGGTATAGATATGAATGGTGCTGAGGCTGAAGAATAATTCAGCAAGCAATAATACAAGGTTTGCTGACTAAGCAAATGCCTCAGTGACTGGTTTCCTTAGGCTTTTTGCCTTAGGATAAATTTTGCAGTATTCTGAAGACAACTCCAAGCTAGCGTTATCTGCCATCAGGTAAAGACAGAATTAATGAGGATGCTGAAGTTTGTGTATACTGAATTGCCCGAGTGTTGAATAAATAAAGTGGCACCATTTCCATGAGAGTCAGTTCTTAATAAGTACCGTCACTTTCTGAGATCTGGTGAGCAAGCTTTAAATGATGGCACACGCAGAAAGGCAGTTGGATAGAAAACGTTCAAGGGTAAGAAAAGCAAAGAACAATGACATTTAAATGATGAGTGTTCCCTTTATCTGATAGGCAAACAAATAAACAGTTTCACTTGCTAATGTTCTTTCAGTATGGTAGAAAAATATGTGTCATGTGTTCATGAAACAAGCTGCTTTCATACAATATAACGATCCCATAGTTTGGGAGATTAAATTGAGGAAACTTCAGTGCTGATATAGGAAGCAAAAGGACTATCACACCCTAAATAGTACAACACATGGCAGTCATGGTTCTTTTGTAGAATATTGGGCTGTCTTTGTAAAACTACAAAATGTAGATTCAACCATATAAATTAGAAACAATTTTATACATAAGAAATCTGTGTTAGGTGTAAGAATTTTTTAAAAATAAAATACCATGAGCACATGCTCACATTAAAAAAGTATTCTGTGGAGGGCAACTAGCTTATCTGGATTTTACTCAATATTTATGGAGCCTTTGTTTTGTTATCTGCTCTAATGTTTGCTGACAGTAAAGATATTGCAGAGTCTGAAGATTTGGGAAACATTTCTGGAAAAAAGTGCAAGCTGCAAACTGACTAGGCTAAGTAGTCATTGCAATGACTAGGTTCTCTAGGGGGATATCTGGCCTCCAGACACCTCGCTACCATAGTCCATTAAGGTAAAAGCAAGCCTCAGGCCAAATTCAGCCAACTCTACAACGATTGTTTATTAGCAGGCTGGGACAAAGAACAATCAGAGGACCAATTCTCTAAATGCAGTGAAACCCTACCTTCAATTCCATCAGAGAGTCACTCTGATGGACAAGTACCTTCAACACATAGTAAATACCACAAGTATTCAGATAGCAGGATCAGGGACATCTCTCGTCAAAGCAGACAGAATCTTCCACTAAATGGAATGGGACAGGGCACAGGGGTCAAGAGTGCTAGGCCTGTACTGCCCCATCCTGTGGCCATGAGCTACTTGTAGCTAGTTAAGTTTAAATTTAAGTTAATTAAAATTAAATAAAAACTGGACTTCCCTGATGGTCCAGTGGTTAAGAATCTGCCTGCCACTACAGAGGACACAGGTTCCATCCCTGGTCCAGGAAGATTCCACACGCCAGGGGGTGGCGGGCAATTAAGCCCACAACTACTGAGTCCACGTGTCAAAACTACTGGAGCCCGCGTGTCCAAGAGCCCCGGCTCTGAAACAAGAGAAGCCATTGCAATGAGAAGCCCATTCACCACAACTAGAGAGTAGTCCCCACTCTTGTTAACTAGAGAAAAGCCCATGCAGCAAGAAATAGCCAGCACAGACAAAAATAAATAAATAAAATTTAAAATAAAAAAATAAATTAAAATAAAATTCAATTCTTCAATTGCCCTTGTCACATTCCAAGAGCCTACTAGCCATTTGGTGCTAGTGGCTACCATATTGGACAGTGTAAAATACAGACCATTTTCATAATCACAGATTTATTTTGCACTGAAAACAATCAAGGCCCCAAAGATTCAGGAAGAAAGTTTGACCTTCTCTCTAAGTGCCTAAACAAATATAGACAGAGGGCCTTTTTAGGAGCAGAGATATCGCCAGAGATACCTGCAAGTAATATGGGCAGGTGTGGTGGGGAAACTAGACAGAGCATAAAGATCAGAGTCCACTCTATGTCCCACTGTTTCTGCCTGGCCTGGCAAAAATTTATTTACCAAACGTGTGCTTTTCCATCTCCATGTCAATTGCCTTCCTCTCCTCTGAAGTCCCAAATGACTTCAGTTCCGTTGCTCAGTTGTGTCCGACTCTTTGCAACCTCATGGACTATGGCACACCAGGCTTCCCCATCCCTTTCACCATCTTCCAGAGCTTGCTCAAACTCATGTCCATTGAGTCGGTGATGCCATCCAACCATCTCATCCTCTGTCGTCCCCTTCTCCTCCTGCCTTCAATCTTTCCCAGTCATCAGGGTCTTTTCAAATGAGTCAGTTCTCCACATCAGGTGGCCAAAGTATTGGCGCTTTAGCTTCAGCATCAGTCCTTCCAATGAATATTCAGGACTGATTTTCTTTAGGATGGGCTGGTTTGATCTCCTTGCAGTCCAAGGGACTCCCAAGAGTCTTCTCCAACACCACAGTTCAAAAGCATTAATTCTTTGGCACTCAGCTTTCCTTACAGTCCAACTCTCACATCCATACATGACTACTGGAAAAACCATAGCTTTGACTAGATGGATCTTTGTTGGCTAAGTAATGTCTCTGCTTCTTAATATGCTGTCTAGGTTGGTCACAGCTTTTCTTCTAAGGAGCAAGTGTCTTTTAACTTCATGGCTGCAATCACCATCTGCAGTGACTTTGGAGCCCAAGAAAATAAAGTCTGTCACGGTTTCCTTTGTTTCCGCATCTATTTGCCATGATATGATGGGATTGGATGTCATGATCTTCGTTTTTTTGAATGCTGAGTTTTAAGGCAGCTTTTTCTTTCCTCTTTCACTTTCATCAAGAGGCTCTTTAGTTCCTCTTCGCTTTCTGCCATAAGGGTGGTGTCATCTGCATATCTGAGGTTATTTATATTTCTCCCAGCAATCTTGATTCCAGCTTGTGCTTCCTCCAGTCCAGTGTTTCTCATGATGTACTCTGCATATAAGTTAAATAAGCAGGGTGACATATACAGCCTTGATGTACTCCTTTCCCGATTTGGAACCAGTCCATTGTTGCAAGTCTGTTTCTAACTGTTGCCTCTTGATCTGCATGCAGATCTCTCAGGAGGCAGGTAAGGTGGTCTTTCCATCTCTTTAAGAATTTTCCACAGTTTGTTGTAGTCCATGTAGTCA